ACACATTGGTACAGGAGACCACTTGCTAAATATAACCCCAGTAGCGCAGACACTGAGAGAAACAATTAATAAATGGGGCCTCCTGAAACTGAGAGGCTTCTGTAAAACAGAGTACATGGTCAACAAGACAAAATAGCAGCCTATAGAATGGGAAAAGATCATCACTAACCCCACATTGGACACAGGACTGTTCTCCAAAATATACAAAGAACTCAAAAAATTGGTCAACCAAAGAATAAATAATCCAATAAAAATGGGGTACAGGAAAAACAAAAAAATGGGGTACAGTCCTAAACAGAACTCTCAACAGAAGAATCTAAAGTGGCTGAAAGACACTTAAGGAAATGATCTACATTCTTAGCCATCAGAGAAATGCAAATCAAAACAACTCTGAGATTCCATTTTACACCTGTAAGAATTGTCAAGATCAAAAACACCTATGGCAACTTGTGCTGGAGAGGTTGTGGGGTAAAGGGAACACTCCTGCATTGCTGGTGGAGTACAAACTTGTACAGCCCCTTTGGATATCAGTGTGGTGATTTCTCAGAAAATAAGGAAACAGCCTTCCTCAAGACCCAGCAATACCACTTTTGGGTATATAACCTAAAGGATGCTCAATCATACCACAAGGACATGTGCTCAGCTATGTTCATAGCAGCATTGTTTGTCATAGCCAGAACCTGGAAACAACCTAAATGCCCCTTGACTGAAGAATGGATAAGGACAATGTACATTTACACAATGTAAAAAATGTAAAAAAAAATGACATATTGATATTTGCGTGTAAATGGATGGATCTAGAAAACATCATATTGAGTGAGGTAACCCAGACCCAGAAAGACAAATATAATATGTACTAAATCATAGGTGACTTTTAGACATAAAGCAAAGAAAACCAGCCTACAAACCACAGTCCCAGAGAACCTAGACAACAATGAGGACCCTAAGAGAGACATGCATGGATCTACTCTACATGGGAAGTAGAAAAAGACAAGATCTGCTGAGTAAATTGGAAGCATAGGGATTATGGGAAAGGATAGAAGGGGAGGAGAGAGGAAGAGAGAGGAGCAAAGAAAAATATATTGCTCAATAAAACGATTTAAAGAAAGAAATTAGAACAGACTCATAAAAATGTAAGTCAGTATTTATTATCACTGAAGTTCCTATTGTTGATTCTCATTGCTGTAATTTCAGTTTTCATAGAAATATTTTTTCAATACAACTTCAGTACTCTGCATTTGTGGCACTATTCATGTTTCCCTAGATTTCTTCTGAGTATAATCTTGTGTGAATCATTTGTTCTCCCTCAGCTATTGCATTCTGGGACAGTTAAGGAAAAGGATGCTGATCTGACAGAATTTCCCAGGATCCCTTTGGTCTAGCATGAAGGGGGTTTGCTTTAACTTTTCATAAAGCCCAATGAGAGTTGTCTGACCTTCTTTCGGGTTGCAAATATATTGTCTGGACACTAAGGATAGAGATAGCTCACTTCTACCAATTGGCAGTTGCTAACATAGTCCATAAGAGTGAAACCACATAGATTAAAAGGTAAAGTGTTTAAAATAGGTGTGGTTGTATATGACACTAAATGTGTGAATGTCTGAAATAGTTCATTTGAGTTTGGGCTGCCAAATGTTTTCTCCAAAGGGCTAGACAGCAAATATTTGAGTATTATTGGTAGTATGCAATGCTCCCAAGGTAACATGAGATCAGCCATGAACAATGAGTGAATGGATGGAGTAGTGTCTCAGAAACAGGAAGAAAACCCAGTTTGGACTATAGGTCATGATGCAATTGTGGGCTGACTCCAATCGCAAAGCATAACTAACAAATAATTTTCATTTTCATTGCCTCCCCTGCTCAGGGAGCTCCAGGCAATCACTATGCCTTCCTTGTGCCTTATTGCTGGCTAATAATATAATCCATAGTCAGTTTGGAAGACGTAGACAAGACTGAGATCAGATATTCTCTGCTCAGTGGTTTTTCTTTGGAGTTTCTCTTGCCCTGTCATATAACTTCAGTATTCTTCCTCAGAAGCTACATTTCAGAGTGAACATAGTTCCTGGCTCAAATAAAGAACAAGGTGTATCGTATAGATTTGCATGAGTATGAACATGCATTGAGTAGTCTACATTGGCTAACTCTATGCATTTCATGAACTTCTGATGTAGATGTCTAAACATTTGTGTTTCCCACAACATAATTTGTCTGCTAACATTCACCCAACTGAGAAATCAGTCACTGGAGGCTTCTTATCCAAAATCAACTGTCACAGCCTATCATATGCCAAGTCCTAAAGAGTTAACTCCATTACAGTCTTCCAGAAACAAACTGTCCTCAATCCCATCATCACTGTTTGTACTGCAGGAACCTTTGATGTTCTGGTTGGAATTGTTCAGTTCCCTGACCAGTCTCCCTCTCCTGCTTTGACTCGGACCAATCATTCTTTAAGCACTGAAACAAGTTGGCTCAAATAATATAATAAAAAAAAAACACTCTTCCTTGTCAGTTCTTTAAAATACTGTGAATAAAAAGCAAACTCTTTTGTGTAGGTATCTGTAGTTTCCAATATTTCATTTCCTGAGCACAACAGGACTCTCCTAGACTTTGTATTACAGTCATTGTGAACCTTGCAGAGTTTTGACCTTGCTTCCTCTCCATCTTTATGTGTGTCTCTGTGTGTGCACACATGCACTTGTGCATGCATTGTATGGATGTGTGTCTTCTATCTCTGCTTCCTCAAGCTTCCACTCAGCTGCAAGGCACCTGGCAGGGCTGCTTTTTTGGTACCCCCCCCCTCAAGTAGAAACCCAACAGTGGAATCCCTGACCTTAGCGTTCCCTTCCTGCAGCTCCTTTAGGTGTGGTACTGTCTTTTGTGTTCCCTGTAGCTCCTGTATAGATGGTTCCGTCTCTTCCCCATACATCATTTCTCCTCCCACTGAAGAGCTATAATGTCACTTCTTTATTGCTCTGGAGTACTTGCCCTGGTATCTGCAATTAGTGTACACTCAGCAATATTTGTAGGATGAATTAATGCCGCCAAATTAGCCTATTTGTCTTCATAATTGCATAACAACTTGTGTTTTAATGCAATTAGAACTGTGGGTAGCTGAGGCTTAGAAACATGTATTTAAGAAACATTTAGATGGAGACCATATGCATCAGTAGTCGTGACCTTTAGAAGGCTCATGGGAAGGAGCGTTAGTGGGAAGGCAGTCATTGCCTGTATGTAAAGGGAAGCAAAGCACAATACAAAACAACAAAACAAAATCTTGACGGATGGCCATATCTGTTTCTATTAGTGCCCCTGTAATAGCTTGTGCCTCCTTAATGGCTGCTCCAGAGAACAGTGGAAAGGACATTGAATGTGAAACTGAGATTCAGTAGCCCCAAGGGCAGACATTTTGTGTGAAACCAAGCCTGTCATTAAATCCTCATCTTTCATCCTTCAGAAGCAACTGCATCTTGTGTGGGTACTAATCTGAATTCTGTCCCTGAGTGGTGTTGCGATAATAAATGACTTGCCTGCTCCTGTACAACAATATTATGCCTCTCAAGCTTTTTAAATAATAAAAGTATGAAAGAGTAAAGTATCTTGAGATCATTTCACACTCTCTCTATGTTTTTAGATAATCTACTTCTACACAGTGATGTAGAAAAGACATAGAATTTGGGTTTTTTTTTTTTAAAGAAAATGATTTCTGAAGATAGTGATTCAAACATTTTGGAACAATGAAAACACTAATAAAGGTTGTTGTCCTATGAAAAAAATGAATGGATGATGAACTTACTGAATAAAACTTAACCCCTATTATTTTTTGCAAGAAAGAATATTTCACTTCTATCAATGAGAATAATTAAAAATTAAAACTTGAATTGGGTTTTTTGGAAAATGTACATAGATCTGAGGTCCAAATGGTTGTACTTTTTCTTAACTATAATGTTCTAAGCTCTAGTGGGCAGGAAAAATGGGAAAATTATTAATACTGTTGTAGAAAAAATCCAGAAGCCTCCTATGGGGAGTAATCCGTGACCGACAGAGAGCATAGATTATATCTGCAATTGCTCCATGATTTTAACTTTTATGTTTAAATTGACTTTTCTTGCTATTTGGGGATTAATTAAAATCCTTAAGAAAGAAAATCAAAGTTCACTACAAATACCAAGTAGATTCGTAGATCCTAGAAAATGTTCCATATAACTTTACTTAATTCTCGTGATTTAATTCTAGCATATGGTGCTTGGGGATACTATCTAATGCCACCAATTCCTTGGACTATATAAAAAAATCAAAAAATTGCAGTGCCTTAATTATACTTCAACGTTGAAGGGACCTTTTGATATTTGTCTCTGTCTCCTCAGGGTCCAGTGAATGACAGATGTTTAATGAATGTTAGTTGAAGGGAAGGTGACTTAAAGTTGTAACTTTCAAAATTGATTATTGAGGGAAATGCCATGCTTTTGATTTTGTGATCTTCTGTGAAAATCAGATAGCCTAAAGTAGCATCTTAATGGCTCCATAAGATTTTCAGTTATACAGCTTTCCACTATCGTCAGCTGACTGATTGGTGTCTCTGCTGTGCTGGCTAGTTTTATGTCAACTAGACACAAACTAGAATCTTCAGAGAGAGGAACTGCTTCCATAAGGTTGGGCTCTAGGCAAGCCTGTAGGGCATTTTCTTAGTAATTAATGAAGGAGGACCTGTTCATTGTGGGTGTGCCTACCCCTGGGCTGGTGACCCTGGGTTCTATAAGAAAGCAGACGGGGCAAGCCATGGGGGCAAGGCAGTAAGCATCACCCCTTCATGGCCTCTGCATCAGCTCCCGCCTCAGGTTTCTGCCCTGCTTGTGTTTTGGTCCTTGCTGCTTTTGTTGGAAAACTGGTATATGGAACTGTGAGGGAAATAAACCGTTTCCTCCTCAAGTTATTTAGAGAGTGAGGTATGGCTAAGGGCAGGAATGATTGTATTAATACTCTTGTCGCCTTGTTTATTTTAGCCAAAACAACGAACATCTATTGTGTCTTCTCTGGATTTCCAGCGAATGAATCATAACCAAGAATATTTTGAAATCAGCACGTCTACAGGGTGCGCCAGCTTTCCTTCCAGCCCTCCAGTTAGTCCGCCCACCTCTTCCGTGGGAACCACAGAAGTCAAGAACGAGGGAGCTGAGCACACAGGTAAAACAGTTCACTTTATGCAAGTATACGTTTGAGCTTTAATAAGGTCTTTATGAGCTTTGGTGATTAAGAGAAATCCTCATCCAAATTTTATTTCCGGTTCACATTTTATGAGCAACGGTATAGGGTATTCATACTTTTATTATGGCAAGGGTATCATATTGTTTTTAATACAATAATGGTCTTTCCAGTGTTGACATTAATGGAACAATTTAATATTATTATGGTTGTAATAAAAAAGGACCTAGAAATGCTTTTTTCTTCCACTGTCATTTACTACTCTCCTGCAGTTCTATCAGTTGATCAACAGTAGACCTGCTAATAGCTGCTTTGAGACTGGAAAACCCTTACCAAGAATGTCTGGTAAGACTGAGTTCAGCACTGTTGCTAAGATAGATGTCACCCACTTAAACCCAAGTGAACTTGGAAAGGAGGAGTGTAAGAGGGAAATAGTCCCACCCACTAGGGAAAGCTTTTTGGGTCTAGCCAATCCGATTCACAGATCCTTCAGAGAAGAATGTTTCAGTCCTTCAGAGAAGAATGAACCAATAGCTAATTGATAAGGACTAAGATGTGAGAAGTATCTTCCTCTTCTGTCTAACCCACGGCAAACACCCTGTCCAGTTGTTCTCATCCAAAGAGTTTAAGCTTGGTAGATACGGTTCACATTCATTGTAGAATCCTAAACAAAAGTCAGTTCCATTATTTTGACCATGTGTCTGTTCAAACTGTCTGCACATAGATTTATGTACATATCTGTACATGTTTAAGTCTTTTCACCAACACTACTATTAAAAGCACCAGAACAAACATTCTAAAAAATATACAGCCAAAGAATTATCTTCTCTGGGGTTCCAGGTGATAAGACTGATGCTCTGTAGAAGTCATAATCCAACCTTTCGTAGCAGCTAGAGAGAGATTTATAAAATGTAAATCAAAGCGCACCATTGGTGAGTTAATGCGTGCAGACGGATTTAGGTCCTTGTCATGGCCAATGAAGCCAACTGTCTCCTGGTTGCAAACTTGCTGTGGACTCTGACCTTCAGCACACTCACCCAGGCCTTCTTTGCAGGGCCCAGGCTCAGGGACTTTGGCACTCCGGCTCTTCCCACCTGCAAGCTCTGGGCTTGAATGCCGATGTTATGGAGCATCATTTAGGTTTTGGCTTGGTCACGCTCCTTCACATGATCTTCAGATTGTACTATCTTGAGTAGAAATTCTTAATATGATGAGTATCGTGGTAAGAAAGAAGCAAAACTATATGAAACAGCTCCAATAGTAATAAAAAGCAAATACTTAGTGCTCGGTGAGACAGTGTTTTAGGTATTTCCCTTATAGCAGCTCATCATATCCTTTTGGCAGGTGTCCAAGTTGAGTGGTAGCTTCTACAGTGAAGGAAATTTGGGCACAAAGAAGAGCAGTAACAGCCTCCCGTCCAAACAGTGCTGGCATTCAGACCTGGTGCCAGTGTCCCTGTTCCCACACTTTTCTCTGTTGCTGTGTTCACTTTGGTGATATCTGGAGGAGGACAGGGCCTCACACTCATGGTTCTTCCCTAGCTCCCTATGTGCTGGAATCCCGGGTCTGTGCACAACACCTGGCTTGTTACATCTATCAAATTTTCTCTTTTCTTCTATGATCTTATCTGCATATAAAATAATGCCAATGGCTTTTCTGCTTAGCAACTGTCTTGTCTCTTCTTTCTAGAACATACACTGCGGTAGATGTGTTTGGCACATCATAAGCCTTGAAGTCAGGCTGCCTAAATTGATGACTAATTATGGGACAAGCTCAGCTTTTGGTGTTACAGGTCTTCTCCTCCAAAGAGAGAGTTAAAGAACAAGGAACTAATTAGATTTCCTTAGCCTACAGTGTAACAGTGCTTCTAGAGCCGCGATTAACATCACATCCTATCAGGTACTAAATTAGTGCCCAATAAATATTAGTAACTCTCCATAGTAGTTGCAGGAATTGCAATATTCTCATACCTCCCCTTCGCCTACTCAAAACCTCACGTTCGTTCAATGACTATATACTGTTTCCCATATAAAAGAAAATGATATAGGATGAGGAAGTGGGATTTGCTTTCTAAAGAGAGATGGCATGTGGACCCTGGAAAGGATTCTGGGTGTATATAAGTATTATTCAACCAGAACTTACTTGATGCTCAGTTCCAGATTTTAAAGCCCCCAGTGGAAGGAGTGGCAAGAATTGCTCTACTTGCTGTAATGAAAACCTTCACCAGCTTCCTTTTATTTCAGCTCAAAGGTTTCCAAGGATTCAAATTTTCCAGTTATATTTGAGGTAGATCGAGATTTTGCTCGTTTGTATTTTGGTTTTGTTTTAGCAATTTTTTGTTCATTAAAAGTCAGAGCTGTAGGTATAGAGTCTAAACCCTGAACCCCAAAAGGAGAGGGTAAGAACTCTTGTTTGCTGCATCACCCAAAATGAGCAGCGTAGTTGTTAGCCTGGGTATGCTTTCTGTCTGACCTTCAGCTGAGCGGAAACCTAACTGCTGCTCTCCAGACAGGTCCCAGCAGCCTTGCCGTGACTTCATCCTGCAGGGCTCACTTGCACAGTTCACTGTAACATCTGCAGCAAACTGGTACTTTGTAATAGTGCACAAGGATGATACTGATTTGCTTTCAATTAAAAAGTAAAACTTTAAGATTTTTTAAGATAGTTTTTTTTCTTGTCTAGTTGAGAAAGTAGTAGTTTATTACCTTAGAGACAGGATTAATTTGTTACACTTTGGACTTAAGAACCTCCCTCTGCAGACACTCCTGAGGGGCATGTATTATGTGTTCCGTCCTGGATTTATTCAGTATTTCCTATCAAATCTCTTTTCCATTCTTCAATTTGCTCTTTGGAAAGGAGAAAGTAAGATGGCCTCCTTTGAATATCCATGATAATATGTGGGTTAATTCATTTTTGTAAACTATGAAAACTAATATTCTTTAATATTTTCAGTTTTATCTTTCCTTTTAATATTAATACTTGAAATCTGCCAACTTTTTAAATGCAGAAGCGTCTTTTGTGGCCTTTTCTTGACTTTGAAGTATAATTTAATTAACTGTGCATGTGTAGTTCATTTTATAAATGATTGTACAAAACATTAATCTTGACAAAAATGGCATTTAATAGAGTAAGAACAAATGTTGTTTCATTTTCAGCGCAGTGACTTGCACCTTAATCTACTGCTATTTCAGCCAGCAATTGCGACTCCGCAGTGACTGGTCTGCTTCTCTGGGAGCGACCTGGCCGCAGGCTGACGGGAATTCTTTTCCCCCAGGCACTGGCTCTGCTGCTGGTGCTAAAGGCAGCTTTAACTAAATCTCTATCATTCTACTTATAAATAAGACTCGAGATTCAAAGGATGGGGTGAAACACTGTTAGCTCAGGCTGAGTAGCAACAAGCTAGCCCTCTCTCCTTGCTGACTTCTGCAATGGGCCATCCTTCAGCCCAGCTAAAGTGAAAACAGCCACGCCACTCAAAACCCTATCCTAGGATTTCCGGTGCCTCTCTCCGTCTCTCCCAGGTGCTCTCTGACGCCCTCTGATGACTTCCTGTCAACTAGTTCCTAACTCATCCTCCTGCTCCAATGTTAATTTTATTTAATTAAAACAAGTGCTAATTAGGGATTCACGGCATTATAGAATACTCTTCCCCGCCCCCAACGAGCTATTATACCTTTAAAGGCTGACGACAAAATTCTAGGTGAGCCAACAGATTTATTTTGAGGGACAGCCGTTGAAAAGCATCCTGGACTGTGATTAAAGCTTTAATTTAGAAGTCATCAAGCAAGGCTGAAGAAAGGAAAAGCTTAGGCGGTAAGTGTGAGAATCCTATGGACAGAATTGCAGTTAACTAGGGAGATCAGTGTTCATCTGCTGGAAGTGGACCCGAGGGGAGGATAGCTGTGGGGAGAAACCTGCATTAGGGGAGCACAGATACAAATGAATGCGGATATATGTGCAAGAACGGAAAGAACAGGCTGGGGTAATGGATGTACAAAGGTGAGGGATGAGCTCAAAGAAGGAGCTGCATTTTCCAGCCTAAGCAGATGAGCCAAATACAAATGCATTTCCTGAAATGCGAATGCCCGCAGGCAACAAGGTAGGCTTTAGGTCCTTGAAAGGCCAATCGGCCATTACTTCTAAAGACTTTCTTACTGGGAGTGAAGAGTCACGTGGTCTAATTTCTGTCCTATGAGGATTCCTCTTACTGTTGGACTGAGAATGGACCATGAATTCCAACTGTGGAAAGTATGACCTTTTGATACAGTTCCTCATGCTGGGGTGACTCCCAGCCATAACATTATTTCCATTGCTTCTTCTCAACTGTAGTTTTGCTGCTGTTATGAATCATCATGTAAACATCTGATATGCATGATACCTGATATGCAACCCTGTGAAAAGGTTGTTCCACCTCTGAAGGGGGTCAAGACCCACAGGTTGAGAACAACTGATACAGATGCTGTTGCGTGAGTGTAGATAAGGAGGCACAGAACACAGCTATGTGGACGATGGGACAAAAGGCAGCCCAACAAAGGGGACAGAGGAGGAGCTACCTTCCTTGGCCAGGGGAAAGTCTGGTGGGCATTGTATTCTGGGGTCAAATGAAATAAGATAGTAATAGGGAAAGAATGAGGGGTCATGGAGATGACCCAGTCATTAAAGTTTCTGCCTCGTGAGCGTGAATACTTGGATCCTCAGTACACACCTGAAACCTGGGCACAGCAATGGGCATCTGTTTACCCAGTGCTGGGGCAGAAAGCAGGAACAGGCAGATCACTGGAGCTTGGCCAATCAGGGTCATCAATTGGAAGACGATGGTCTCAGTGAAAGACTGAAAAAAATAAGGTGGAAAGCAATAGTAGGAGACACCTGGCATCACCTCTGCTCTACATGCATGCACACTGTGCACACCACACACACACACACACACACACACA